AAAAGCTGGCATTTCAGTTTTCAGGCACTAGTTGGGCCGAATCTTACGTACCACGCAGCAAAACATCGTCCGAAGCAGCTGGTCAGCAGCGCTGTACACTCGCTGGCTGGCCGGCTTACGCGGCAGATGAGACGACTAAAAACAAAGCGATGTGTAAATGGCCGTTTGGACCAATCAAACGAAGCATCTACAAATATATACATAATAATATTTTAACAACTATGCTGCTAATGAGGCATAGCTGTGGCTCGTGATGTTTGCTATATTTTCTCATATTTTTGAGGCCGGCGGCTGCATCCTCTATTTCGAGTCACTTCCATTGCGGAAAGAGGAAATCCCCCAATCTAACCGACAGGCGCTAATCGTGGCAAAATTACTGATCGAAAGTATTAAACATTTTAAGTCTAACGCAAAATGAGAAGAAATGTTTAAAGAGGTATATCGTTAACCTTTAGAGCAAGTCACTGGCTCCAGATGTCATATATGCATGTGGTACATATCACTTACCGTTCAAATGGTCTCTCAGGTCTCGAGAAGCAAGCGGAAGTTTCAATGAAGTGAGCAAATAAAGTAAATAGGTAAAGAAGCAGCAAAGTACGCAAACAAGTATTGACGAAAGAAAGATAAGGAAATAAGCAAGTAACTGCGCTACAACGATAACTATAAACAGATTACTTTACCAGACCCTGGTTTATGCACGAGACGTACCTGCAGCTTAGAACCGGTGGCGCCCAGTTCGATGATTTCCCATACAATTGTCAACGTACTCTTCTTCTTCGAAACTTCAGGAAATCGAACCAGAAGCATGCCCAATAATCCGTAAGCCGCAACCACTGTCGAATGGAGGTCGCGTGAGTGAGCTGGCGGAGGTCGAGCGAGTTGGTTTTCGATGAAATGACAAACGGCGACCAAAACCGATTCCAGAGGAATCAAACCTTAAAATCCGTCACAACTCCCATTCACAGCATGAATATGATATTATGATTGTCGTGTGTCCCGTATGATGGTGATAAAATGCTGGATTTTTCAAAAGACATACTTTTTAATATTACAGTCGAACCTACCGTCCACGCCATGCTGGAAAGGCAGAATATTCAGCATAAATCGAAATTTCGATTCACGAAACCCTACCTCCTACTAGCACCATCTCAAGGCTAATCTAAGACTATTCCGTTCATTCAAAAATCATTGGTACTGATCACTTTACTGACGGTAGATGAGGACAACGAAACGAAGGTAATTATTTTTATTCATAACCTTTCAGTATGAACATAGATATTTAGCTAAAGTCAGTCAGGTCATCCAATCTCAAGAATGAGGACGAACTTGAAGAATTAGATGAAGGATGCGCATCATATTAAATGCATTCAATGTAACATCATTTCAGAGTATTTACATAAGCAAGTACGATCCAGTATCAAAACTGTAACCATAACAGCGAAGCTATAAGGTGAACACCTAAGCAAAAAGGAATTATGATAGAAGGACAGGTGAACTATTGAGCTCTTATAATATTTTTTTGTCCATGGACTTTTTCGTTCCACTCTTCCTTCAGATATACGAAGAACTACTTACTTGAACATATGTCATACGGTAAATTGACCATTAAGTTAAAGAAGTCGAGGATTGCCAAACTGACCGCAAAATCTACTAGCCAGCGCGAGTTCAGCAGCTCGCAGACTGCGTTTATCATTTCCAAAATGTTGTGAGTTTTCGGATCCTCAGAACTTTGTGACATGTGCATCAGCGACGAAAAACAATAGCACGATAAAAGAGCTGAAAACGATAACGGCTGCAAAAGAATACATGGCCGTTATTGACAAACCTAAGAGAATCTGCAGATTCTGCGAATCGGTCTCCACTTTCATGAGAGTCAATAGCACCTGAGACAACTGATCGCTCATGTGCATGATTTTCAGGTCTTCATCACTGAACGGGTCTGTAAAGTTGGCGATTAACTGGCTGGCCCTGAGTCGTGACCATCCCACAGAACAACCAACGGTTGTTACCTTTGGCCAGTACGTTAGCGAAGTGCGTTGGAAAACAGATGACTGCCGACAAAAGATGCAAACAAGCAAGCCGCAAGTTCGGTTCTGAAATGCTCGGGTGGCACCTGAAAATTTAGGAGCTGATCAAACAACACCAGACGCAACCAACAGAAAGGTAAAAGCAACGGCGATAGAAATCTACGGAAAATCCTGTTTGATTAACAGTCATACAATCGCTGTAAACGATGGCGCATTACTATTTTGCACGAATGAGGGCACACAGTTTCGGGTTCCAAAATTAGATATTTTTAAAGTTTTAAACCGTTTCTTCATAAATTTTTTAAAGTGCATGCAGTCATTCAGTTAAAAGAATAAAGGAATAAAAACACAGGCGTAATCAATGCCATTCAAGGCCTCACAGAGTTATACACAGATCAGCTAAACTTTCTATCTTCAGGGTTCTCAGAGAGCCGGATCCGCAGAAGAAATGCAGAGTATATATTCTCAATCCGCTACACTGAGGACAATCTTCTAGCGCATCACTGTATTAGGTGTTTCCTTTTATTATTTTTCTGTTACCTGCTATACTATTCCGGAAAACGAGAATATCGCAATATGGTGATTGTAACTAAGTTGCAAGTCTAAATATGTTAATCGCACAGAAACTCAGCAGGTCCATCAATTCAACGCTGAGGGATAAAATGGAAAGAGAAGCACCACCAGAATCATAAGAAGCTTGCGGAACTCAGTTGCTGTCAGCTAAACATACTTAAGTTACCCACAACAAAACAGTACTAACAGAAAAAAACAAACAAGGCAATCAGCACTACATGACATCACCGTGTCCG